TCTTTTGGGAAGGAATTTACAATATGTAGGCCGTGAAGGAATGGAGAGTTCAGTGCCACCTCTGTTATTCTGGGGGTTTTGTGTGTGCGCGATGTGTTTCTGCCGTAGGGCACATATGCTCACTGAAGACAGGCAGGCAGGTGAGGGTGTGTGTGAGAAAGCATCCCCCCAGGGGGGAAGGCCAGGCCACAGTTCCTTCTCCTTTATTCTCCTCTCGGGGTTTTGGGTACGCACACGCATGTGCTCAGTGTCTTTTTCAAGCCGTCGAGTCTGGGACTTGAACCACACTGTGGGCCATATGGGATCTAGCTGCCTTAACCACCATGCTACCGGCTAGCCCTAGGTACCACCTCTTTATGGCAGAGTATATACATACATTATTTGGAATTCTTCTGTGTGAGAAATTTGTCCGTGCTCCTTTCATTCGATTACTGGGTCACATTTAGAAGGAAAGGCCAATACCTCTCCTACTGATCCGGGCCCTAGAGTGGTCTCCTCACTTGTCGTGAACACTGACCAGAGTTTGCTGCTCCACGACACCGGCCTGAGCGTACCACCTGCAGCAGCTGCCGGGCCTTTGCACTGGCCCTGCCTTCCGCCCAGCACGCGCTCCCCTCAGAAGTCCACCCTGTTTGCTTCCTCGCTTCTCTGAGTTTCAAAAGCCCTTTATACCCATTGTCTCCCAGTTCACTCTGTGTCCTTACCCTGGATATCTTCATGGCATTTGTCACTGTTGGTGGACATACCTGTTGTCTTGATGTCTTTCTCCCAGGGGGGTGTAAGCTCCACGAGGGCGGGGACTGCGTCATCTCTGCAAGCGCGTCCCAAGTTGCTTCCGCAGAGCCTGGCTCACTGTAGGCGCTCAGGAAATGTTTTTGTTTTAATTGCCAGAGGACACGTTCACTTTCCAGAGAGAGACCGAGAAAGGAGAGGGGGAAAGCCTCTCTCAATGGGGTGTGGTCCTGCCACAGTCCCTTCTCCACTTCTCCATCCGGTCAGGATTTGGGGTATGTTCATCAATACACCCGGCAGCTTGGAGACCAGGATTTGAACCGTGGTTGGCCATGTGGAATCCCAGTCCCTTGCCCACTAGGCTGTAGAGCTGGCACAAAGTATTTATTGAATAAATGAATGCCCAAACTATTTAATTTTGAAAGGCATAATCTTCAGGTCTCTCTGGCCAAAATATTGAGTTGTCGGAAAAGTCATGACACATTTTTTTCTATACAAAACGCATCGTGACTTTTCTGACGATCCAGTGGAGCCTTTATCTTCTTGAACTAATAATTCTTTTTTATATTTTTCCCCTTCTGTCCTGGAGACATTTTAGGAAGGGAGACCTGGCTTTTTTTTTTTTTTTTTAAGGAGTACTTCAGGGTATAAGATGGTAAATAAGTAACATCTAAGTTTCTTTATTGTTTAATATGCACTTGTCTGTATTCAGAACTGGGTCAAAATAAGCCTTCATCACACACTCACCTGGAGGAAGGTCCCCCTGCTGCTTCCTCGAGGGTTGCCTGGGTGATGCCGGTGGCCAGGCAGGTTGGGAATCTCCCTGCACCCTCACTACCTCATGTTCAAGCAACAGCATTTTAGGAACCCAAAGCATCTTACCCGGTTAGGAACCTATTGATAATGACTTGCAATTTCTGTATTAACCTCGCCTGTGGAAGATGCCCCAGTGGTGCAGTCCGGTACTCAAAACTGGAAAGATTTTTTTTAGACTTCTAGTGAAATACCGCAGAAGTTTTGTTTGTTTGTTTGTTCTGGTTTGTCATATAAAGGAAATTCCTCTTAGAGCTCATTTCCTCATCTGTAATTTTCCTTGGTCCCACTCTCGTAAGGAGCCATTATTTATTTTTATCTTTTTAATTTTTTTTTTTTTTTTGGCCACAGGACATGTGCACTCCCAGAGAGAGACAGAGAGAGGGAAAGTGAGAAATCACCCCTTCCCCCGCTGCTAGGGGTGCAGTCCCTTCTCTTACATTCTCCTCTTGGGAGTTCGGGCACACATGCACACATACCCAGCATGATTTTCAAGCCACCAGGTCTGGGACTCAAGCCACAGTCTACCATGTGGGAATCCAGTGCCCTTAACCACCATGCCACCTGCCGGCCCCTCCAGGAGCCATTACTTTTATCTCCAGCTTATGGGAACTGTAAATTTTACTCATAGCCAGGTTCAGTCTCAAGCCATTTCTCTGAAGCTCAACGCAGGCTCTCACAAGACCGAATACAAATTTACTCAGCTGGCGGCTGGTCCATGCTTCTGAAGAAAGACGAATCATCCTCTCTTTTCTTTCAAAGAAGAAATTTATTTGGTAACTCAGTACGAAGCCTCCCACCCACATTCGCTGTGCTGTTTGGCCCCTGTTTATTTAGAAAACGCTGCATGGAAAGAATTACTTATGCAGTCTTCAAGCTTGAGACAGGAAGCAGTTTGTGCTTCATGGCAGATCTTGTTTGGGGGTGGGGGGGAAGCAAGAGTGCAGGGTGAGGCCTAGCCATCCCAGCCCTCGCTGAGAGCTCCATTCCAGCTAATCAATAAAGAGAACCTCAGCCTTCCCTATGTTGTGCTAATTGACTCCCATATCCTTAAAGGAGGTAAGATATGCAAATCACAACCACATGATTTCGCCAAAGAAGTCAGGCAAATGGCCCTGCTCAGCCTTTTAGTCATTAGGAAATTCAAGTTGAATCCACAGTGAGATACCACTTCACACCCACTAGGGAGACTGTGGTCAAAAAGACAGACAATACATGAGGGTGGGAGATGGCAGAGGGTGAGATAGGGAGTCAAGGATGGGGAAAAAGGCAAAATATACAGGAAACAAGAAATGGAAAATTATTTGTTGACGATAACTCGTATGTTGATGTGCTTGACTGAGCCAATGTACTGTGTATTCTGGATGGGAAAAATCTCATTTTGGATGCTATAATGATGTACAGTGTATGAATGTAAATAAAAAAATTTTAATTTAAAAAAATCTAAAAAAGGAAATCTGAACTCTTAAAAAAAAAAAGACAATACAGTGCTGGCAAGGAACCTTTATGCGTGCTGACAGGAATGTAAAATAATGCAGTCGTTTTGGAAAACAGTTGGGCAGTTTCTCAAAAGGCAGTTACCATGTGAGCCACAGTTTCCTCCTAGGTACCAAAGAGGAATAAAAACATTACCTCTACACAGCTGTTCAAGGCAGCAGCATTGAAAATAGCCCCAAACTGGAAGTTGCCCAAATGTCCCCCAGCCATTAAATGGAGGAATGAAACGTATATCTATATAATGGAATATTACTTGGCCATAAAAAAGGAATGCAGTCCTGGCATATGCTACAATATGGATGAAATTTGGAAACATTTGCTAAGTGGAAGAAGCCAGACAGGCCAGCAGGTGGTATGGTGGTTTAAGGCATAGGGCTCCCACATAGCCAACTGTGGTTCAAGTCCTGGACCTGGCAGCTTGCTTTCTCACTTTTCTCTCTCTCTCTGGCGAGTGCATGTGCTCTATAGCAAGTTTAAAAATAATCATAAGTAAAATAAAATAATTCCTTAGTGAAAAGAAAGACGATATAAAAGATTATATGTTCTTTTTATATGAAATATCTAAAATAGAAAAATCCATCAAGACAGAAAGTAGAGTGGTAAATACGTGAGGAGGGAATAGGGAGCGACTAGTAATAGGCAAGGAGTTTCTTTTGGGGGTGATGGTTTCATGACTTTATAAATATGCTAAAAAGCCCTGAATTGTATACTTCGAAAGAGTATATTTTTATGAGATGTAAAATATATCTTAATTTTTTAAAAACTCACAGTTGGAAACCTCACACTCACTAGGATGGTTAAGACCAAAAGCCAGTAGCAATCATTGGGGGGGGGGGGCAGAGAAACTGGAACTCTCATGCATTATTAATGGGATTGTTAAATGCGCAGCCACTTTGGAAAATAGCTTGTCAGTTCCTCAAATGTTACATGTAGAGTTACCATATATCTCAGCAGTCCTACTCCCAGGTATTTGCCCAAGAGAAACAAAGCTGTATATCGACAGGAAGACTTGTAAATGCGGCCCAGCCATGGTGTCACAGGCCATAGGTGTCACATCGCACTGCTCTGCGATGCTGGAGCCATCTAAGACTCTGCTTCCTGTCCTGGGTCTGTCTGAGCAGGCTGGGCATGTCTGTGATCCTGGCTGGCTGCAGGGCTTGTGGGAGGACAGTGGTATGAAGACCCTATTGAAGATGCCCCTTCCTGCTCTCTCCACCCACCTATGAAAGAAAGAAATAAAATAAATTTTATAAAATAAATAAACGAGTGAAACTTGAATAAGTAAATGGGTAGACAAAGACATAAATGGAAGTTCTTTGACTATTTATAATAGCCAAAAGCTGGAAACAATGGAACTCAACAAAGAAAAGGAAGAAATGGAGCAACATAGATGAACCTCAAAAATATGTTGGGGCCAGCAGGTGGCATAGTGGTTAAGGTGCTGGACTCCCACATGGCCGACCACGGTTTGAGTTCCACACCCAGTGACTCAAAACTCAGGCTGGGCACGTGTGTGTGCGTGTGCTCACGCACCTGCCCAAAATCCCAAGAGGAAAATGAAGAAGAGATTACAGTGTGGCCATCCCCCATGGGGTGATTTCTTGCTTTCTGTCTCTTTTCCCTGAGAGCACATGCCCTATAGCAAAAATCTCTCAAAAAAAAAAAAATTAGTATTAATACTGGGTCATCAGAAAAGCCATGATATTTTTATATGTGTTTCTTTACCAAAATGCATCATAACTTTTCCAACAACCCAGTAGTATGAAGGGTCTCCAAAAACTTTATGGAAAATACATATTATGTAAAGACTATGCATAGATTGTTAGATTTTTTTTTTTTTTACCCAAATGAACCCATACTTTAATTCTTATTTTTCATGAACTTTAAAAATTCCTCTTAGAAGACTAGGGCTGTGTATGTATTTGAATTAAAAAAACACAACTCTCTCCCTACTTTAGACTCGTCCTCCCACTGACTTGAGCTTTAACTTTGATGCCAACAAACAACAAAGGCAGCTTATTGCAGAACTGGAAAACAAAAACAGGTAAGACTGCAAAGTCAAACATGTTCCTGAAGTCCAGGATGACCAGGTGAGTATTTGATCCTTGTTCCTTGAAGATGAGATGGCTTTAAACCATACGGAAGATCCTGCCTCAGTGAATGTAGGCTATCCCAAGCCCAGAGAATGCCCTGGACACTAATTCATGCATGCCATTGGTCCTCGTAGCCCAGAGCCTGCTCACCTGAGCTCGGGCACGTTCTTCCAGGTGCCTTCTCCCACCAGCAGTGGTTCCCCTCCCACTACCGCTCTCTTCATTCTCCTCAGCAGCATTTGTTCTATGGAGTCATCTTATCTGGGCCTGTTTCACTCCTTGTGACTGGTCTTCCTAAGAAAGCCACCCCAAGGTCAGGAGACCAGACAACCCACTATTATGCATGGAAAGATAGAAACCAGGACAACTGGACCCAAAGTATCCAATAGGTAGAGGACTTAGTGGCCAGGCACCGGGCAGGGGTCAGGGGTCAGGGGAAGGAAGTAAGACATGGAAGATGGGAGTTGTTGGTGTTAAGAGGTGGCAAGGTATGTTCCTTTTCCTAGAGAGGACAGGGTAAAGCATTCTGGTTGTTATTCTTCTTTCATGGAGATTTTTTTAAGTTCTTCAGGATTTTTTTTTTTTTTTTTTTTTTTTTTTTTGCTGTTTCTACCACAAGGCATTATTGCATGGGGGAAATGTCAGGTGAAATAGTATAAAAAAGGTGTCTGTTTTGGGCCAGCTGGTGGCATAGTGGTTAAGGTAGCTATATCCCACGTGGCTGACTCTGCAGTTCAAGTCCCAGACCCGGCAGCTTGAAAATCAAGCTGGGTGTGTGTGAGTGCATGCCCAAAGTCCTGAGAGGAGAATAAAGAGAAGGGATTGCAATGTGATGTCCCCCCTTTGGGGATGCATTCTTGCTTTATTTCTCTTTCTCTGGCAAGCACATGTGCCCTATAGCAAAAAATTAAAAAATAAAAAATAAGGTGTCCATTTCACATCATGGTCATTCGGAAACTATGAGCACGAGATGGGTAGTGGAGGCACTTTGAGAGTAAAAACCGCCCAGTGGGACAAGAACGAGCAGTGGGCCGCCAAGCACGAGCAGCCCTCTCTCTCCCCTCCGTCCCCTCTAGAGAGATCCTGCAGGAGATTCAGCGTCTCCGTCTGGAACATGAGCAGGCTTCCCAGCCCACCCCCGAGAAGGCCCAGCAGAACCCCACGCTGCTGGCAGAACTGCGGCTGCTGAGGTAAGTCGGGATGCTGGACCAGCCCGAACCGGTCAACTGCAGGAGGGCTTACGTCTCAGGACGCCAAAGGGTGGCAGTCTGTCGGTTGTTACTAGCCCTGTTGGGACAACGAAGGAGTTCCACCCATCCCGTTGTTGCGTCAGTTCCAGTATCGTCCCCCCTAAGAACTTCAGCCTTCATGACAGCATAAGTAAACACGGCCTCCCTGCCCCTGCGGTGAGCGAGCCCTAGATCAGTGGATGGGAGCAGCATTTATTCTTCTGGGGTTGCTTTGAGAAGACCGTGGTGCTGTAGTCCCTCTTACCGTGCTGATGGGTCTGACTTTGGAGGTGCTTGGCACCTGCCAGTCATCTCCTGCCAGTTCATGTCCTGGCACTCCACAGTCAGGGCGGGGCTCCACTGACAGCAGGGTGCCTCCTGACTCCGGGGAGATGGTGGGATGTGCAGCCAAGTGGGGACCCCTTACACCGTGAGCCTGATACCTTGCCAGTTGGGATTCAGGCTGCTGCGGCCGGGGGTGGATTGCAGCAAGAGGAGCCTGTTGGGAGTCTCTCTCTCTCTCAGAAGAAATAAGTAAACTTAAAAGAGAAAGAATTTAAACAGTACAGGAGAAAACCATGAGAGGTGCAGAGCATCTCATTCTCCTAATAATTCATTTTAGTTCCTAAACTTAGTTGGGCTGCAGTCCTGGTTTCTCATGTGCACTGCCCCGCATCCGCATCCGGGGTATTAGTGCAGTTGGTGTTCTGGCGGGGAGGCTGAGGGCCAGCTTCAGTCCAAGAAATACCTTGTTCTTTCCCTGCCTCAGCTCGGGCACAAGTGACTACTTTTGTATCTAGAAAAGCAAAAAACCATCATCCTTGAGTCTAACAGGCTGGAACTGGGCTTGCTGAAAGTGCTGAGTTATGCTGAAAGGATCTGAAAAGTATCATGGAATTAAGAGGCACAGGGTGAGTCCAAGGATGTCACAGAGGACAACAGGAAGGCCAATGAAGGCATAAAGCCTGAGAAAGCAGAAAGAGCACAGGGTCTTCAAAAAATTCATGGAAGAACCAGCAGTTGGTGTAAAGGGATGTCCCCAGACTCCCATGTGGTCGACCGCAGTTGGAGTCCCAGACCCAGTGGCTCTAACTCATGCTGGCCACGTGTGCGTACGTGCCCAAGATCCTGAGAGGAGACTGGAGGAGAAGGGATTGCGGTGTGGCCATCCCCCCGGGGGTGATTTCTCGCTTTCTACCTCTCTGTCTCTCTCTGTCTGGCGAGCACACGCGCCCTATAGCAAAAACCTCTCCAAAAAAAAAAAAAAAGTTCGTGGAAATGCATAGTACGAAGAAACTGCATGGATTTCAGTTATTTTGCATCAAAATTAATTCATGCTTTATATTTCTGGGTTTCTTTTTCATAAACTTTTTGAAGTCCCATCACAATCTCAAAAGCAGCTTCTATTGGGTCTTCAAAAAAGTCATGGTGCATTTTTGCATAGAAAAATACACCTTGACTTTTCCGATGACCCAATATATCACTCAAGAAAGTGGAGACTAATGCATAAGTGAGCAGGAGCGATTGTGAATGTCTGTGGACAGAACATGTCAGTCCTCTGGGGAGGCATGGGGAGCAGTGGCCCATGTGACCCGTGATGCTCTGCAAGGCGGAGCCACCTGGGAAGGTTCCGGATTTATCTTTGGAGACCTCCCTGAGTGCACCTGGGGACATGCATGCCCATGATCCAGGGCTGGCTGAGGCTGAGGGTGGATCTCAGCATCAGCACTTTGCTGGAGGCCAGCAGGTGGTGTGAGGGTTAAGGTGCTGGACTCCCACATGGTCAACCACAGTTCGAATCCCAGACCTAGTGCTTGCTTCCTCACTTTCCTTCTCTCTCTGTCTTTCTCTGGTCAAATTAAAATAATAATAATAGTAATTCTGAATAAACTTAAACAAAATAACTCTTTAAAAAAGAAGACTTTGTCAGGGTGTTGTGTCTCTCTCTCTCTCACTCACTTATAGGAGAAAAAGCACACTTAAAAAATCTATCTATGGGCTGTCGACCTCCCACTGTATACAAGAGCCCAGCACCAGATGGATGAACCATAAAGACAGTACTTTAAAACTTGTATAGGAAAACGTGGAATTTCTTTAGGGTTTTATAACGAATAATAAATTTTAAGCATTATTAATGAAAGAAATTGGTAAATGCATCTACATTAAGAACTTTTATTTATCAAAAGACATATGAAGGGCGGGATTTATCTGTAGGTATCTGACATCCATCTGGTTTTGATCTATATATATATATGTGGATCTAAGAATGCCAGTACCCGGCTGGTATAATAGAAGAAGACAGAGGGTTTCATCCATAGGATTTAGTGGTTAGAAATCTTGACCACCAGGCTTGTCCTTTCCCCTTTACTATTCTTAGTAGTAGGGTTGTTACCTTATGTGTGACAAACGTGTAAGATAATCAGAAACCTGATAATAAAATGAACACCCGTTAACCCACATTCTATCTGAGAACTCACTTGTAAGTAGCTAAAATCATGTTGTCTGTATACATATGAATGCCTCCTTTTTTTGTTTGTTTGTTTATTTGTTTTGGGGGGGTACTTTCTGCCATAGGGTGCATGCACTTGCCAGAGAGACAGTGAAAGGGAAAGTGAGAAGTCACCCCACCCCCCCCTGGGTGGCGGTGCAGGGACCATGCTTGTAAGTCCCTTGTCCTCTCTTCTCCTCCTAGTATTTTGGGCATGTATGCACATGCACCTGGCATGATTTTCAAGCTACCAGGTCCAGGATTCGACCTGCGGTTGGCCATGTAGGAGTTTAGCACCTTAACCATCATGCCACATGCTAGCCCCAGCTCCTCTTGTTTCTAATCCATTTCCCTGCCTCCATTTCCTCACAGAGACAACCTCTGTTTGGAATTTGCCTTATCATTCTTCCAGGTCTGTTTCATTTGTTGTGTTTTGATTTTTAGAAAGGGTCTTGCTATGTCACAATCTTCCTGCCTCAGTCTCCTTAGCTGGACCTGCAGGCACATGCCACTCCTGGCTCTTAGGGTGGGCCAGGAGTAGAACTCAGGCCTCTCACTTGGCCTCTGCCTGCCAAGTGGCAGCATCTACTAGTGCATGCCTCTCTGGTTTTCTCAACGGTATTATCGCACATATGTGTACTTTTACATTATAAGGTGTTCAATTTTACTTTTTGTTTTGTGATTGTCACAGAAAAATTCTATGCAGAATATTACTCTTTTTTTTTTTTTTTTGGAGAGATTTTCACTGTAGGGCGCGTGCGCTCGCCAGACAGACAGAGAGAGACCTAGAGACAGAAAGCGAGAAATCACCCCCAAGGGGGTATGGTCACGCCGCAATCCCTTCTCCTCCATTCTCCTCTCGGGATCTTGGGAACGCACGCACACACGCCCGGTGTGAGTTTTAAGCCACCGGGTCCGGGACACGAACCGCGGTCGACTACGTGGGAGTCCAGCGACATAGCCATTACGCTAACTGCTGGTTCCCCCGCAGAATATTACTCTTTAGGATTCTTTCATGTTATTGCATGTAGCTATAGTTCATTCATTTGCATCTTGAATTGTAAGTGTTTGGTCATGCACAGTGCTTCCATGGGCTAGCAGGTGCTGAGGTGGTTAAGGCGCTGGATTTCCATGTGGCTGACCGTGGTTTGAGTCCCAGACCTGGGAAGTTGAAAATCAATGACAGGCGTGTGTGTGTGTGTGTGCATGCTCAGAATCCCACAAGGAGAATGGAGGAGAAAGGATGGGTGGAGAGGGGGTGATTTTCACTTTTTTTTTTTTTTTCACTTTTCCTCTCTCTGTCTCTCTTTGGCAAGTACATAGACTCTATGACAAAAACTTAGGTTTTGATTTAACAAAACCTAAAATAATATCACATCCAAGTTCAGAGAAGGAAAGCTTTCTAGAAAAATGGAATGAGTCAGATCCTCCTTATCGAGTACATAACTGTGCTGGAAATTTAGGAAGTGGAAAAGACTAGAAGACAATGAGTCCATCCTAAAAATGTATAATTTAGGGGCCATCAAACAGTGTGGTGGTTGGGGGCTGGATTCTCACATGGCTGACTGCAGTTTGAGTCCTGGACCTGGTGGCTTACTTTCTAACTTTCCCGCTCTCTGTTCTGTCTCTTTCTTATAATTATAGCAAGTTAAAAAAATAGTAATAATAAATTAAATTAATAATTTTTGAATGTATAATCTATTTTTGGAAGTAAGTAATTTGTTTAATAGTACTATATACCGTTAATAAACAGTATGGTTATTGTGTTATAAAAAATTGTGTAGGGAAAGATACAGGTATAGATAGAGATGTAGAGAAGGGAAAGAATCTTGAAGGCACAAATTTGTTTTCAATCATTCATTGAATTGAGCTTTAGAGGACCAGTGATAGGAGATCAAATGAGTCAGGCATTTAGAGACCAGATCTTGGAGTACCTTACTACTAGGTCACTGGAGGGTTTCTAATAATGATTTTGTTAGGTTTCATGCTAATTTAGTGCATGCTAACTGAGCACATACTCGATGCATGATATTTTCTTAATCCTTCAAGACATGTAAAGATGAGTCAGGCTCACCTCCTGACCACAGGGATTTGGATCGTGGTAGGGATGTCACAGTGCAAAGTAAAGTAAGTGCCACAGAGAAGGGCTCGTTGCTCTGGTGACTAAGCAGGCCCTGCCAAAGTAATCAGGAGCAGATTCCTGGAAAGAGGGGACTGACATCTAGGAATTAATCAGGTTTGGAAGAGAGGTAGGACTGGCTTGAGTCAAAATAATAGGGTCTGTCTAAAGAAGAGGGAAGCCATCTGCTCTCTGTCCAGAGCGAAGGAATAGGAGGTGAGGGCTAAGGGTGTGAATGTAGGTGGGAGTTGAGAGCAGCTCTCTCCCTCCGGTAGAAGTATGTGAGCCCGTGTGTAATTAAACATTTTCTAGCGACCACATTGAAGAACTAAAAATAAATAGATGTGATTCATTTTAATCCAGAATCTCTAAAATATTATCGTTTCAACATAGAATCAATCCTTAAAAATCATTGAATGCTTTGCTTCCTCTTTTCCACACTAAGTCTTCAAATTCCAGTGTGCACATTCCACTCTTCGGTGTACTTCAGTTCAGACTAGCTGTGTTTCAAATTCTCAGTCATCCCAAGTGGCTAAGGGCTCCCGAACTGGAGACAGAGATTCGATTGCACAGGCGAAGGGTTAATGATGCCCAAGATTCTATTGAGATCCTTACGTAGGGTGACGAAATGAACTTGGCTTTGCTTCGAGCAACACTTCAACACTCACAGAATCCTCAGATCCATTATCTTAGTTGTTCTTTAAAATGTTATTGTTCTTAGGTCCTTTTTAGAAGAGAGAAAATTGAGGTGAAGTGACTGGTGTGAGGTGCCATGTTTCGTGAACAGTGGCACCAGCACTGCCCCTCCAGGCTCTTGGCTTGGATCCCACTGCCTTTTCCTCACCATGAAAGATGAAATCAGGATGAGTCTCCCAGGAAACCGTGGCATGTACGAGGCAAGGAGCACTTAGATAAAGTGACAGTCGTGGGAATAGAAAGGTAGGCACGTAAGGTTTCCAGGAGAGAGTCCTCTGAATTGGGTTCGGATTGGCTTGAGTGTGAAAGAGGAGAGTACCAAGGAGGACTGGGTTTTCAGCCACGGCGCCTAGAAGAAGAAGCAGAGAGAGAGAGGTGGGGAAAGAGAACCATTTGAGGAGCAAAGTCTTAAGTCTGGTCTTGAACATCATAAGCTATTTATGTTGCTGGACTCCCACATAGTCGACTGTGGTTTGAGTCCCAGACTCAATTTCTCTACTATTTGTTTATATGTGGACTTATTTTTGTATCTTTCTAAAAGAAGCATTTGTCTTCCTGAAATTTTTTTAAAATCATTCGCTTTAGTAATAATATTAGAATGCTTTTGAAGGGGCCAGCAGGTAGCACAGTAGTTGAGGCGCTGGACTCCCACCTGGCCAACTGCCATTTGAGTCCCAGACCTGGCAGCTTGCTTTCTCGCTTTCTCTCTCTCTCTCTCTGTCTATCACTGGTGAGCATGTATGCCCTGTAGCAAATTAAAAATAAATAAATTAATTAAATAATTATTTTTTAAGAATGAATACTTCTTCTCTATGGCAATGTATACTTTCCAAAGCACTCTTAAAATCATTCTCACTTTACAGAAAAGTAGGCGAAATAGATGCCATCACCATTTTAAGCATGAGCTATCAGAGGTTAAATCACTTGCTCAGCATCGCATAACTGGTGGGTGGCAGAATTAGATCTGAAATCCACTTCGCTGGCCTTCAACCCTTCTTTCTGGAATTGGCGGTGGCATAGCAGTAAAACACAACGCCTGAGAGTGACCCACCTGGGAAGGTTCTAGGTTCACCCAGAAAGCTCTCTGAGTATGTCAGGCGTGTGCCGTGCCCATGACCCAGGGCTGAGAAAGGTGGAGGTGGATTGTGGATCAAGACACCGTTGGTGATGCCATCTCTCTTCCTCTGTCTGCTTCTCTCTCTCTCACTCACTCATGGAGAAAGTACATTTTAAAAGTAAGTTTCCTTTCTGATGGGTTTTTCCTCTTGCATAGGCAAAGGAAAGATGAACTGGAGCAGAGGATGTCGGCGCTGCAGGAGAGCAGGCGGGAGCTCATGGTCCAGCTGGAAGGGCTGATGAAGCTGCTGAAGGTAAGCGCGGGGCCCACTTCTGGCCTTCTCCTCCCACCTCTTGGCCCTTCTAGTTGTCTCCTCCCACATCTTCAGCTTCTGCTCTCTGTGAGGTTGGAACAGGAGGCCAGAGGCTTGACTGCCACTATCAAACCAAACTTCAGGTAAATCTACTCAATTTAGCATAATTACTGATCGGTATCAGTGTCGCCTCATGTAGGAGCCCAGTGGAAAAGAATGCACCACTCGGCAAGGATGGTCCACGTGAGGAAGCCCCAGATTCGTGTGTGGAGACCTCCCTGAACACGCCAGGCATACGCCTGCCTATGATCAGGGGCTGCTGAGGCCGGGGTCGATCATGGAAGGGAGGCCATGTTGGAGGTGCCCTTTCTCTTTCATGAAAGAAAAAAAAAAATTAATGTTTTTTAAAAATGAATCTAAGTTAGCATCAAGCCTTATAAAAAGTAACTCGGGACCAGCAGTTGGTGTAATGGCTTTGTCGCTGGACTCCCACATAGTCGACCACGATTTGAGTTCCAGACCCGGCAGCTTGTGTATGCACGCGTGCCCAAAATCCCGAGAGGAGAAATGGAGGAGTAGGGGTTGCAGTATGGCTATCACCCCGGGGGTGATTTCTCGCTTCTGTCTCTCTCTCTCTCTCTCTCTCTGATGAGCACATGCTCCCTATGGCAAAAATCTCTCAAAATAAAATAAAATAATGTTTATAAATAAGATATTAGCTATGTAGGAGCCAGCAGGTGGTATGGTGGTTAAGGCGCTGCACACTCCCACATGGCTGACCATGGTTCGAGTACCGGACCTGGTGGCTTGCTTTCTCAATCACTTTCTCTCTGTGTCTCTGCTCAAATTAAAATAAATGAATGAATAAATAAAATTAAATAAATAATACTTTAAAAATTGTTTTAGAAAGATATTAACCATGTATAAACAATTGTATTTCTCAGCTACTTTCCATTTAAGACAAGTTTTCAAATATTCTACGTAAGTACTTAACAAATGTCATGTTCATTGTAATAAATAGCACAGAGGAAAATGGAACTAGTCAGGGTTCTCCAGAGAAACCACTGACAAGATGCACTTTTGCCACGTAGCATTTCAGTCAGTGACACACCGCATTTGTAATGGTGCTTCCCCTGAGGTTACACACCATACCAGGTAGCCTAGGTATGTAGTGGGCTGTACCCTCTAAGCTTGTGCGAGTGGGCTCCATGATGGTTGCACATGACGGAGTGGCCCGATGGTGCATTTCTCAGACTGCCTGCCTGTATTAACTAGGCATGACCCTGTACAGATGTATACGAGGGGTGTTATCGTAGGAACTGGCTCACACAGTGGTGGAGGTGGACAAGCTCACGGCACCCTGTCTGCAGTCTGGAGATCCAGGAAAGCCACAGTGTGATTCGGCCTGCGGCTGAAGGCCTGAGAACCAGGGAACTGATGTAATCCCAGACTGGGAGGTGGGTCACCGGTGTAAGTCCTGGAGTCTAAAGACCCAAGAACCAGGGGAGCTCCAACATCTGAGCAGGCGAAGAGGAAAGTCCTAGCCCCAGAAGAGAGAGCTAATTTGCCCTTCCTCTGCTTTTAGTGCCATTCTGGTCTGTCTCATTGATATGCGCCCATACCTGTGAAGGCGGATCCTACTCAGTGTCCTCATTCAAATGCCAGTCTTTCTTGGGAACCAGCAGTTAGCGTAATGGCTATGTCACTGGACTCCCACGTCGTCGACTGCGGTTCGCATCCCGGACCCAGTGACTTAAAACTCACGCCGGGCGCATGTGCGTGCATGCCCTAGATCCTGAGAGGAGAATGGCGGAGAAGGGATTGTGGCGTGACCATCCCCCCTGGGGGGTGATTTCTCGCTTTCTGTCTCTATGTCTCTCTCTGTCTGTCTGGCGAGCGC